TTGAAAAAGGAAGAATAACAGCTGAAACGTTGTGAGTAAGACACTGATTTGAAGTTTCCTTTAGTTACCATCATCTGCACTCAGGTATTGGAAGTGTTGACAATGTTCAGACGTCCTCATGCCCTACTGGTGTGGACTGTTGCCTTCAAGCCAGACTCTGTCATCATCATCATTTATTGTATTCTGGCCATAGGCCCATATACATACAATAACATTATATACATACAATTTTGTACATGTACAAGTATAAACATGCAGACTTATATGCACAGACATGCGCACGTGTACAATTTTGTGAAAAATAAGTCGCATCACAACACAACAAGAAGAGATAAAAGCATTTGAATAATAAAGGCAAATAACCTCAAGAATAAGTAAACATCATTTGTACAAAGACGATTGCGAAGTCGTAAACCATAATTAATGTATAGGATAGTATTCTTTTGTTGCTCGTTAGATTTTTCATCAAAACGGAGGAGCTTGATTAGTGTATTGATGTTTTGGGGTAGATCTTGGAAATATTTTGTTCTGAGCGATTCATAACATGGACAGGTCAGGGAAATATCTTGCGCCCGTTGACCATTATTCACTCACTCACATGACTGTGGGGTAGTCCTAATGAGCAGGGCGTGTGGCCATCAGTGTGTGTGGTGGGGTGGGGGTGGTAGCCAACATCCCCACGACCCGGTGTGAGTGAGACGGATGAGGGGAAGCCACTGGCGTCAGAGAAAATGTCCATCAGCTGCTCCTGGCCATAGTAGCCACGACCCCACGAGGTCCTCTACGTCACTGTGGACTCGTCCCATTTCAGAATTTTAAAACTATGCTCATTATATTTTTGCCCCGTATTTCACAGTGCTATTTAAGGTGTTGTTTGATAATGCCCACTTTCCTGAATCTTGGTCTTTGGGAGTTATTGTTCCGATACATATACATATAGGGGTATATCAGTTATTAGTGCTACCCATGAAGATCCCGGGGTAGAATAGGTCTTCAGCAACCCACGCTTGCCGTAGAAGGCGACTATGCTTGTCGTAATTGTCCAAATTGCGTGGATCGATGCTCATGATGTCAATCACTGGATTGTCTGGTCCAGATTTGATTATTTACAGACCGCCGTCATATAGCTGGAATAACAACTTCATCCTGATATTAAAGAGATATTCCTGTTATTGTTTGTAGACGATATTATTCTAATCTCAGATACCATGGTTGACTTCAGAAGCGTATTGATGTTCTAGAAAAATATTGTAATGATTATGATTTAGACGCGGATTTGAATAAAACTAGGGTGGTTGTTTTTAAGAAAGGTGGAGTGTTGTCAAGAAAAGAGATTTTTGTTTTATAAAGGTCTAAAGTTGGAGTGTGTATCTTCCTGCAAGTATTTGGGCGTTACTTATACGAGAAGCCTGTCCTAGTCAAGTCATTTCTCAAATGCTGGTTTACAGGGGAAAAAGACAATGTTTGGAATTTTAAAGTAATTGACAAAATTACATCTTCTTCGACATGACATGATATGAAAATAGCCACAATTTTGCTCTATGGTTCCGAAGTCTGGAGTCTACACCAGAATGATGAAATAGAAACCATACATACATTGGCGGTCAAGGGCTTTCTAGGTGTCAAATCGTCAACACCCAACAACATGGTTCGAGGTGAATATGGGCATTATCCTTCATATCTTTATGCAGACAAAAGAGTTATTGGTTACTGGATGGAGTTTTTGAGTGTGTCCGATTGTCGCAATCCAACGAAATGCTATTATATTATGCTTCAGGCAGAAGGTTAAGATAAAATTAACTTGGTCTCAAAATATAAATGTTTATTGTTCAGCTTGGGTTTGGGCTCTTGTTGGTAATACCAGTTTATAAAGTGATCCTCAATCGATTTTGTCAGAATTTATGACGCGTCTGAAGTTTAGTTGTGAACAGGACTGGCATAGTCTTCTGGAATAGCGTAGTGAATCTTTATCTTATTCTCAATTCAAGGTATCGTTTGGTACAGAGTTGTATCTTAGCTGTGTGACCGTCAATAAATTTGATGTGGCGCTTGCTCGGTTTAGATGTTTTTCGCATCAGCTATGTGTTGAAACAGGGAGATACGCTAATATCACGTAACAGAAGATTATGTTGTGTTTGTAAGGCTGGGTGTGTGTAGGACGAGTATCATTCTTTGTCAGTTGGCCACGATAATAACCAGTTGCGTGTGGATCACTTACCAAAGAATATTGTGAAAAATTTAATATCATTATGTCTACAACTGATTGTAAATTAATTAAACAGCTACCTATCTATATCTATCAAACGATGTCACTTCGTAGTACATTATTGTCAGCACAATAAGATCTGTGTACATCATGTCCATTGTAATACAAATGTAACTATGGACGGTTGGCCTACACTTACGAAATATACCGAATTGAATACAGACTCGTCGCAATTCCATTTGCGTAACTATAACAGCTTTTGCAAGCATTTTCATCTGGGTCCAGTCCAATAATGTATACTCACACGCAAAAGAAACGCAAGTGGTTTTAGGCAAATAGATAACATTCACGGAACCATAGTGTAGTGAAGCCTGATGGTGTTTTCAATATTTTTGGTTGCATTTTCGAAGCCCCGAGTAAAAACGCAACATAAAAAACGAATCGCCAAAACTCACCATTTAAATGAAATGTGGGTATCATGCATCCATTTCTCGCGAAATCGAAAATACACAAACTGTCACGAACTGTAGTGGGTATAAAACTGTGGCCGATTCTTGGACCTACCACTCCTCGGTCAACAATGCCACGCCTAACTCAAATTCAGAGAAACCAGGCTATCGGACTTTTGGAAGCCGGAGAGTCTGTCCAAGATGTTGCCCGTCATTTCAACCTTAACTTAACCACAATTTACCGTCTCCTGCATCGATACAATGCTACACAGACCACAGATGACCTTCCTCGGAGCGGTCGTCCTAGGGTCACCACACCTCGACAAGATCGGCAGATTACCCGTCAACACCAGCGACATCCGTTCCTAACTGCAAGTGAAAGTGCTCGACAGACCATAGGAACACATAATCGACACATTAGCCGGGACACTGTGATCCGACGTGTCCGTTCCAACAACCTCAGATGTCGCCGACCAGCACGTCGTCCTGTTTTCCAACCACGACATCGCCAAACACGACTTCAGTGGGCACAGGGTCATCGCAATTGGCGTCATCTTCTCTGATGAAAGTCGCTTTTGTGTCTCCCATGCAGACGGAAGAGTCAGAATTTGGCGGCGTCGAGGTGATCGTTTCGCTGACAGAAACGTTGTGGAAAGGGATCCATGGGGTGGACCTAGAGTCATGATATGGGAAGGGATTGGACTTAATGCGAGACTTGGACCCATGTGCTTTCTGAATGCTTTCTGGGTGTGTGCAGGAGGATCTCTAGGGCCTTCACAAATCGTCTGATCCACTCAATGTACAGGAGATGTGTGGCAGTGATTAATGCTAATGGTGGTCACACCAGGTATTGACTGACATTTTGGGTATTGACCCGAAACTGTGTAAGCCCTTAACATTTGAAAAAAAACAATTATGTCATCTGCCTTTTAATCCATTAAACTGTCTTCAGTCAAAACAATTTTAATCTTGCCCTATTAGTATTTCTTGTCTTTACTGTTGAAAATAAACAACATGTATACTGCATACTCGACTTGCGTTTCTTTTGCTTGTGAGTATAGTTCTCTCCTACAAACAAGTATTACCTGGGCTCGACACAAACTTGACTTTCATTGTAGTTGTACCGACCACACATTTACTCATGTATACAGGAGGGCTGCCTTCCTCAAGAAAACCTCCGGTCATTTTTAATTACGGGTCATCTGTCGTCAAGACGTTGGTGGCCCAATCGGGGCTGTCTGCAGAGGCCGCTTGTGCCGAGCGATATTCCCAGATAAATCACTGTCAGGCACATGCTATAGTGTTACATCTCCCTGTGTATAGTGCTCTGTGATGGCCATTGCCTCCTTTTATTAGTGGATTATTTATTTCTCGTAACCTGTCCTGTATGCCTTAACGACGACACCTGTTGAAAACTTCTGTAAGGATTGGCCTCCACGGTCTGGAGACATTCTCAAATACACCTGATGCTCGTGCAGTGCAGGGGGACATGCAATAAAGCTAATCATCACTGTGAAATAACCGCCATGTTGGTTTCCCGTCAAAGGCCATGTTTGACGCACAGGCGTGTGAGGCACAGGCGTTCCCTGGCGTGTGCATCGTCGTATTTAGAGATGTCGATCGTTATTTTGTTCGTCAGCTCTTGGAAGAATGCAGACAATGCAGTGTCACACTTTGGTCACTGTCAACTGCAAGGACACTTTCACATAAAAGTAGCTTAAAAAACTGCACATTGAAGCAGATAACCTTTCCAATTCAGATTGTTTAAAAAATAAATATATGATGATTTTCTGACGAAGCCTATTGCAGTATGAATAGTTCTCTCTAGTTTTCTAGTTCAACAGTACCTGAATTGTTTGATAGGCATTACTTAGAAGTTGACGGATGACAAAGTGGACACAGTTTATGGATAACAACTTCTTTAATGCTGTGAAAAGCGACGTTTCGGTATAGATCCTTATATCGTTGTCAAGCTGCAGTCTTGCTTTACAATGGTATAAGGATCTTTACCGAAACTTTTCTTTTTACAGCATTAAAGACATTTTTAACCACAAATTGTGACTACTTTAACGGTACCTGTTCGATCAACTTGTGAAACTTAGCTTCAATCTGTTGTGACACCTTTTAAGCAAATGAAACATTGCATTTATGTTTGCTTGTTTGATGTTTAACGTCGATCTCAGTAATATTCCAGTTATATGGTGGCCTTTGCATTGATGACCTCACCAGATCCACAAAGAATGAATTATTTTACAGAGAACGAAACTGACTGACGTCAATCACCCATTCCATGAAAGAATATCGTGAAGAATTGCTGCCATTTTCTTTTCAATGACACAAAGTTCTTTTACATGTGAAAGTGTTTTATTACAACAACACATTTCAGGCCTGGCGCCCGAGTTCATGTATCTGCTGATTATCTGAAAACATTAGAAAAGAAAGGTTTCAGGCATCGGACATGTCTTCCAATTCTACCTCACTGACAGATGGAATACTTGCACCTTCTACATTTAAGACGCTAACGCCAGAGACAAACCAGTCAAAATTATCTCCCGAAACAGATTGCATTGGCTGTTCTAGTTAAAAAGTAGATTTGACTTACTCGTATGAATGTAACAAAATATTTTCAATTTTTTTTTTATAATCAAGAATTGTATAGATTGTCATTAGGTCATGTGACATAAATGACTTGTGTGTCAATATTCTTTAAATAAACGTCTATACTAAAATGCTACCTTTTCACATCTTCCCGAGGCAAGGGAGTTAACTGACTTTAAAAGTCCAGTTTCCATCCTTGCCGAACTAGCCTGGAATTCCTGGGCTCGATATTAGCGCCACCAGTAGCTATTACCAATTATATCCCTTCTAAGCCTCTCCTATGGACCAATAGGATTCCACCTCTCGTATCACTTGCATTTGCTTCAAACAAAATGGCGGCGCCATGTCAGGACGATCTGCTCGACAATCAAGATCTATATTGTGATAAAACGGGTCTTACATCGCGAAGTGCATCAAATCACGTGAGCACCTTGATTAAAAACATGAAAAGATTTGGAAAATATCTGTTGACAACGAGTTGGCGGTGCACATGCTTTGCAAATCCTGCAATCGACCGAAATCTGCAGGACAGTTTACGAACCGGATTTCGATTTCGTTGCGCGATTTTGATTGGACTAAGCATAGACTCGTTAGTCCAGCCAAATTGTAACTCCATAATACCAGCCTAGTTCGGCAAGGGTGGAAACTGGTCTTTTATAGTCAGTTAACTCACTTGCCTCGGGAAGATGCCTTTTCATGAACGGGTTTGAGACACGAACTAACACTTGTATTGGGGTTGACAAGGACAACTTTGTCAGACTTCCTAGCTCAGGCACCTACATACGGCAGTTGAAATTTTGTTTGTGCGACATCGAACCTGGATGATATCGGCCATAAATTCTGGTATGTCTGGTCCAGATTCGATCAGTACTGGACCACCTTGTATAGCTGCGAGAGAGCTGAGTGTGACGTTAGTCAGCATTCGTTCCCTCACACCTTTGGAAAATCTAAACTACTTATTATTTGATGTGTCATGTAACTGGTCATCGTACTTGTTACTTGTGCTACTTATTGACCAGATTGGCCGGATAATCGTCTGTTCAGCTTTCACTTACGTTTCACAAACGCAGTGTCCGATGAAATGTCCCTCGTGGTGGCAAACGGTTTTTCCGTTACATCCGGGGCACTCAATGTCACAGACTCTGCTCGTCACACATCTGTCAAATCGGCCACAGCTTGATTGGGCATCTGACAATGATAGACGTCAATGACATTACTGGAATGCCACCTTCACTGAAAGTGTATTTTACATATGATATTTCCAAGGATCACAAATGTACACTTTTTCATAACGTCATTGAGATTAACAATACTTGAATGTCCAATTGTTGATGTTGTCAGTTAAGTTATATAGAACCATAGATACAAAAAATAAAATTTGCTGTATGCGAATTAATTCTATGCAAGTGACCAGGAAGTGACCTAATTCCTTCCGTACTACTGGCGCTGACTGTAAGATCTGTACTACTGACGCTGACTGTTAGATCTGCAGGATACCAAGACATATACAACAGTGACACTCGGAATCCGTTTTTAGAAGTATAGCTTAATAATTTAAAATTCGCTGTATCTTAATTATTTCCATGCAATGTATTGAAGTGACCGGGACCCTAATTCCTGCTGTACTACTGGCGCTGACTGTAAGACCTGCACGATACCAAGACACAGTGGCTCTCGCGCTCCTGAGTCAAATACATATGTGTATGAATCTGGAGAACAGTCGCATTTCCAACTAATCTCAACTTGAGTCCCATTTAAATATACTTTGTCGACGCTGGTGAGTGATTGTTTACTAGACGTGCGTAAATCAAGCGACTGCGTAAATGATATATGAACATAAGGTCCAGCCAGGAGACTCACCAACAGCCCCCAGGAGCAGCACTGAAGCAAGGACGAGGAAGAGGACGACTCTCATGTTGACTGTAGTAACAAGGTGCTGGTGAGAGTGACACAGGCTGTTTTTATACACTGTCTCAGGCCGACCTATCGTGACATGGAACCAATCCTTCACACGTTTTCAAATTATCTTTGAACTTTAAGATAAGCACACACTATCTTTTTCAACATATCATCGAATGTTTGTGAAATGTGTTCTATATGTTTGGAAACTTGAAACAAGCATGTATGATGTTCCTGAAACACCAGATAAAAATACGAATACGAAATGTATCATATTCATGTCAGTACTGGATTGAAACATACCTATAAGATTGCATTTGGTGATCGATGGTGATATGGCAAACATGAAGCGAGGGAAACGACCAGAACATGACCATGATGTTGGGGGGTTACCAAGTGTTACATGTACTTGTAATTATGCATGCCTGGTTGATCTATACCTACAACCTATACGTCTTGGTGCCCAGTACTGAAATCAATGTCCCCGTCGATGTGTCATCAGATAATTCTCCATGGGCTGACAGCGACAGCAGTGGTCCGATATCCTTTATGTGAGATTCCTTCATACTTGGACCTGTTACATTCTTCCACCCCTTTTTACTCAGGAGATAAACCTACTGCTAAAGCGCGAGGTTTCAAGTGTATAAATAAGAGGTTTCTACATTAAATTTCAAAACACAGTAGGTTTATCTCCATTCTACCAAGACTGCAACGGCGCTTGAAAACGGTGCTGTCTTGCAACTGCAACGCCTAACTGCACCGCGTACCAAGGCCTGCTGTCTTCCGAAAAAGGTTCAAAGGTATTTATATATGTTACAAATATTACTAAAGTTCAACATTTAATACCAACATTCGTGACTAGTTCAAACTAAGTGTTCAAAAAACATAGTTTTTCAAAAAGAAGTTGACAAATAACCTTCCTCCAAACTTTGTCCAAATATGTTTCAATTTCATTGCAACCTGCAGTGCACTGTTTGGACTCACCAAGTCATTTCTTTGAATTCGAATATTCCACTTCCCATTGTAGGGGTGGCAGGGGATCTGTACTTCCCGGAATGTGTGCTACCCGGAATCTGTTCGGGGATGTGTAAGGGGCTGTAGGGATCTGTGCTACCCAGCATCTGTTCGAGGGGAAGTAGGGGGCAATGGGGATCTGTGCTACACGGAATCCATTCGGGGACAAGTAGGAGGTAATGAGGATCTGTACTACCCGGAATGTGTGCTACCCCGGAATCTGTTCGGGGACATGTGGGGGGCAACGGGGACCTGTGCTTCCCGGAATCTGTTCAGGGATATGTAGAGAGCGATTGGGATCTGATCTACCTGGAATCCTTGCGGGGACAAGTAGGGGCAATGGGGATCTGTGCTTCCTGGAATCTGTTCGGGGATATGTAGGGGGCGATGAGGATCTGTGCTACCTGGAATCTGTTCGGGGATATGTAGGGGGCGATGAGTATCTGTGCTACCTGGAATCTGTTCGGGGATATGTAGGGGGCGATGAGGATCTGTACTATCCGGAATCTGTTTGGGCATATGTTGGGGGTAATGAGGATCTGTACTCCCCAGAATCTGTTCCGGGATATGTAGGGGCAGATGGGGATCTGTGCCACCCGGAATCTGTTCGGGGATATGTAGGGAGCGAAGGGGATCTGTGCCACCTGGAATCTGTTCGGGGGTATGTAGGGGGCAATGGGGATCTGTACTGTCCGGAATCTGTTGCGGGATACGTTGGGGGAAATGGGAATCTGGACTACCCGGAATCTGTTCCGGGATAATTAGGGGGAGATGGGGATCTGTGCCACCTTGAATCTGTTCGGGGACAGGTAGAAGGTAATGGGGATCAGTACTACCCGGAATCTGTTCGGGGATATGTAGGGGGAGATGGGGATCTGTGCCACCCGGAATCTGTTCGGGGACAGGTTGAAGGTAATGGGGATCTGTACTACCCGGAATCTGTTCGGGGATAAGTCGGGGGCAATGGTGATCTGTACTACCCAGAATCTCTTCCGGGATATGTAGGAGGTAATGGGGATCTGTACTACCTGGAATCTGTTCTGGGATATGTAGGGGGCAATGGGGATGTGTGCTACCTGGAATCTTTTCGGGGATATGTCGGGGGCAATGGGGATCTGTACTTGCCCGGAATCTGTTCCGGGATATGTTAGGTGCCGGCGATGGGGATCTGTACTACCCGGAATCTGGTCGGGGATATGGAGGGGGCGATGGGGATCTGTACTACCCGGAATCTGGTCGGGGATATGTAGGGGGCAATGGGGACCCGTGCCTCTCTACTGAAGAATCTTCCATTGAACAGAGGCTGGGCACGTGAACGAAACGCTCATATAAACGACACATTTGATATTTATACGATTATATTCGAGAAATTACGTAAACTACCGATGGACTACTTCTCTAACGTTTATATAGTTTGGATTTCACTCTATGGTAGCGTTTACTATAATTGAGGCCACGTTAATGGAAAGGCTTATTTCAGTCACCCACTTATATTAATTGTTTAGTTGTAACCAAATGTTCCTGAATCCCTGATATGATTCAACCAGCCCCAGCAAGTGTTGTTCCACACTGCACCTGCGGACGAGCAAATGTTTAGTGGACGCATGAAAAATGATTGCTTGGGTTGCGTTATTTCTGAACAGTTGAAATCATTTTCTAATGTCTGATTTGGAATAAAACTGATGAAACTATGCGTGTATTTAGTAGAACCCTAATACAATTGATGAGTATTTTTGGGGCACATTGAGAATTGATTTATTTTGGTATTCTTTCTTTCCTTGCAATTTCATATCTTTACTGAAAATATCGCTTCTCAAGTGATTTTTCTTATCTTTTCAATGCTATTGAGCACCGCTCGAGGGTAAGGATGTTTGCTTGTCCCCAGGGTTTGAAATAGCAGTAAATTATACCAGCAAATACAAACGTCGCGTTGTTGCCATTGATAACCTTTCAGACCATTCGTGTCTTTTGAACGTGTAAAGTACGAGAGCTGGTCATATACATGTAGTTCTAAGTCAAACAAACAAAACCAACAATTCGGAAAGTGTTATTAATTTTATTTTTCAACATAATCTCCCTGTTTTTCAATACACTTTTCATATCGATAGTGAAGCTTTTCAATTTCAGTCAGGCAGAAATTTTCTGAAGCCACCTTGAAAACCTTTTGCGGCAGCTTTAAGGTCAACGTTGTCGTCATAGTGCTTTCCATGAATGTGTTCATTCAGTTTAGGAAACAAGTGGAAATCACCTGGTGCCAAGTCTGGCGAGCATGGAGGGTGAGAAAGCTCTTCGAACCCTCATTGTCGCAGAACTGAAGTCGAGAGGTGCGAGAAGAGGCATTGTCATGAAACAGTAGAACTCCATCAGTCAGCATGTCTTGCCGCTTCTCTTTGATAGATTCTCTCAGGCTATGAAGCAAATCAGTACAGTAGGCACTGGTTATCGTCTTTTGACTTTCTAAGTAATCAACAATGATCACACCCTTTGCATCCCAGAATACAGTGGCCATAACTTTCCTCACTGATCTTGGAGATTTGAATTTCTTTGGTGCCGGGGAAATGGAATGATGCCATTTAATGGATTGACGTTTTGACTCGGGATCATTATGGGAAACCCATGTTTCATCACCCGTTACTTATCACATAGCTGCCCAACGTTTAACGCTGGAATAGCTAGAGCACTTATCCCCATACACTTGTGACATTGGGTTATGAATTTTCTTGGGGAGTACTTTTCTCTAAAGTCAAAAACGTGATGACTGCTCGGTACTCGTTCTTTTCCTTTTCTGTGTCTATACGGACCCCTATCACGTTCAACTGGCTGTCATTAATGTACAAACGGCCTCGACAGACCAAATACTCGTACACTTGGAATGAACCACTTAAACAATGTACTGCTTTGACTAGTTCACTTTGTTATGGCCCATAGTTGAAAGTTAGTCAGTTTTTTTTAACAGCCCTCAGGCAATCAGGTGTAATGAAACACAACAATGGTGACCTTATTTCATCGTGTACACAATCATTGAAATCCTCTACCCATGGTTCCTCGAGGTTACAGATGCCGGGTATAGACCCAACTGTTTCCAAAACCTTTCGCTGGAATCCATGGTGGGTCTTTTCTCATCATTCCTATCGATTGCATTTAACTGCCTCTAAGATTGTTTTTCATTAGATTTGAATAATTTGTTTTGTTTCATGAAGTTTTTTTTCTTATCCCACTTTCTTTTTCTTTTTGTCCAAACCCTTCAGAGAATCAAGAATTTTCTCTTTTGTTGTCTTGTAATTTTTAAAAAAAAATTTCCGAATTGATTTTTTGTCGTTTTGACATTGATTTATTTTTAAGCAAAGCTCTATCCAGGATATATCTTTCCTGGTTTCGTTTAGTTTTATTTGAACCAGTTTTTTTGGATGATTTTGTTTATTTTGTGGTTCAATATCTTTGGAAACTGCATGGAGTTCCCCCAGTGTTCGAGCAGCAGCACACACGCAGCAGTTAATGTCATGCAAAGAACAGTCTGCAATGAGAGTCACAAAAATAATGTCATTTAATTTATCAAGTTGATTCTGTGGAAATAAGTGGTAAATCACAGATTTGATTATAAAATGATATTAACAAATTATACAAGGGATCATCAGAAAGATGATCTGCAGCAGCAGAGGGGTCTGAAGAGGGGGAAAACTCAACGACTTCGAGCCCAACATCAGGGATTTCATTTTGTCAGCCCATGAGTGGGTCATCAGTGACAACTGCATTAGGTACTTTAGGGGGAAACAATGCGAACGTCCATTTGCAATTTCGAGTGTGCCACTGTTAGAGCTGGGTGTTCATGTGAAGGCGCCTGACGAGCGTTGTTGTTAGCTGACCAGACTCACGGCGCCTATACAACTTCAGTCGCCGGAGCTGGTCGCGAATATTCTGCTCTGTCAGATATGCATACATTGGCATGGCTTTGTCCCAATGTTGCTTCAGTAATTTGCCATTTATACGTGGTATGTCTGGCCATCCTGTTGCTTTCGCACACTCAAGAAGTGTGGACTTGAGTAAGTATGTCCAAGATAGTCTTGGATGGGTTCTGTGCCTGCCACTTGGGCTAGTCCCATCTCAAGTTTGGTTAGTTTGTATACCTGAGGGAGGCTGACTGGGCTGCGGAGTTGAACAATGTTTCTTTCCTTGTCGTACAGATTAAATACGAAAATGCAGCAAAGATGGTTTGGGTGATCCTGGAACAGTCATGCTAGTTATAATCAAAATCAGCTCAGTACCCTTGTCCCCACAACACACATCCCAGACAGCGAATGGGACTTCTCCCAGGAAGCGCTGCCTAGTCAAGACTCCCCAACACTATGGCCTTCTGCGTTACCCAGATTGTCAGAAGGGCTGTATTCCTGGTAGCAAATCCGGGTACTCACCTAATGTCAGTCAACGGATTGGGAGGTACCAAACCTAAGGCACCGAGAACAATGGGGAGTCGGACAACTTGGTACTTGGGATGCAAGCGAGACATTTCAAAGGCGAGGTCATGCCATGTTTTTCCTGAATCTTGTCAATCACATTAGTGTCAAAAGGGACAGAAAACACAATGACATAAATAATTTCATTGGATTTATCAAAAGATCATGTTTCTTGGCCTGGATGCGTCTGAGGCTATAAATGGGCCTATTCCAAAGAATTTTGTATTTATCATTTTCCATGATGCCCTCTACATATTCCGGGTCGTACCATGGATGGACCTCTGTGTCAAAACCCCAAACATTGCGAAGGCGGTAATAAAAGGATCGAGCCACTCCATCATGTCACTTAAGATACTGTGTTTGTGCCAAAGCTGAGCATCCATTAAAAAAGTGTTGGACAGTATCATTTCATATCACATATTGACGGTTTCGAGTGGGAATTGACTGTGCACATGCGTTTTTTTTCTATAGTCCATTTCAGACTTCCCTCATTGGACTTTCCCATTCATTGGAAGAATCTGCCCTTGCTGTATTCATTCGAATTTTTCTCCTGTAAAATTGGCGATAGGTGATCTACGACAGATAGCGGATCCAACTGCAATTCTTTTTACAATTGAGCCCGGGCTGGGGCATGGTCTTGACATTCCAGTAACAAGTGACCGATGGATTCAGGTTGATTACAAGATGGACATACCTTGTCATGGTGCTTTTTGTGACCGAGTCTGAGGCGTGAGATGGCTACTTTAACTTTCCTTTCATTTGAGTATAGTATGGCTTTAGTGGATCTTGGGTGGAATTTTGCATAACCATCTGTTGATCTGACTTGCGTGTCATTGGTCTTTCTACTTTGGGGCTATAGGGGCTTTCATTTTGATTGTCTAGTTTGCTGTAGGTAATAGGTTGTATCTCCGCTTTGTCCTGATCTAGCTTTGCCAGTGTATCTGCTTATCTATGTGAGACGGGATCCAACACAGCTTCACCTGTTTTCCTTCGTCTGATAAGTTTGTATATTCGTATAGAATATTATTGACTGTGTTTGGTCTTGAGTTTGAGTTTCTGCCGCTGATGGCATGAAGTGCACGAAGCGAGTCTGATAGGACGACTGCCTTTATTTCCGGTAGTTCCGGCATGAGTTTGAGAGCATGATGATTGCCTCCAATTCAACAGTGAATACTGACTGACTGTCAGTCAGGCGAACGGAATGTGCTTGAGTTTTGGAGCTATGGATATGGATCCCGTAACCAGCACTGTTGGTGATATGAGTCTTGGATCCATCAGTGTATATCACGTGATCAAAACTCAGTGGTGATGTTTATCGCCAGCAAAATTGACATTTCTTGAAAAGCGCACTCCACATTTTTTGTCATTACTGAAAGTAATATCCCTTATGGCTTGAATAGCTTGTTTACCCTGTATAAGTATTAGCACACTTGCAGCTATCTTCGTTATTTAATCAGCGATATTATGTGATTCTATTTCAGGTGTTCAGGGCAATAAGAGAGGCATAAAACCATACAAACTCACTCCACAAACTCCTACCTTCTTTTTGCATACAGGCGCGTAAGGTAAAAGATGCATTATGACACTTAAAAGGATTTTTATGTCAATCGAAAACCGTTAATTCCTTTAATCTTTTCAAAATGACACTGCTTATAATTGAACTTCTTTCTCACACAATTTTTAATCGAATATTATATTAATGACTAGGATTACTGCAACCTGCATATCTTGAAAAAAGACAGTTTAATGTAGTTCCCACCTTAAACAGACAGCGACTGAGCTCGACACAAACTGAACTTTCAGTCTCCTGGAAAGTACGAAATCCAATTTTGGCTGAGATACGCACACTGTATCCACTAATCGTGCTTTATCGCAGTGATCGAGTTCTGGTATTGGTGCTCGTATTCCCAGTAAACAATAATGTCTGCCCAAAGTTCACTCTGTACAGCTGAGAGTTTTGTCGAAGTCCACCATCTCTAAGAATCACTCCCTATTTTCATTAAAAGATTATTATACGTTTCTCGTAACCTGTCCTGTATGCATTAACGTGGCGCCACGAGCAGCAGACGCCACCTGCTAAAAAAACTTTTGTCACGGTTGGCCTCCGAGGTCTGGAGACATTCTCAAATACACATGATGCTCGTGCAGTGCACGGGAAAATGCAATAAAGCTAATCATCACTTTGATTTTGATTTAAACATATTTATTCACAAGGAGTGAACGGGATTGGGGGACAAGTTCTTCCAACTTAGAATGCCCTCTCCCTGGTATTTACAAAATATTCACAATTTCAAATTCAATATATATGCATAAAACATAAAACACTATAGATGAGAGAGAGAGAGAGAGAGAGAGAGAGAGAGAGAGAGAGAGAGAGAGAGAGAGAGAGAGAGAGAGAGAGAGAAGAGAGAGAGAGAGAGAGAGAGAGAGAGGGAAAACATTGTTGAATGAACAGTTCTTTACACGAATCTTTTAGTTGTACATATATAACGTTGTACTGCCTTAAATATAGCTTCATTTTCTGTAACAACGTGATCTGCATTGCCGTGTAACAGTAAGTGTACATCAATAGGTATGTTATGAACAATATTTTTAAGGCTGTTTAACATAATTTCACGCTGATGACTAAACAATGGACATTCCATGAGATAATGATATGCATTTTCATATGTATTCGAACATGTACAGTTCGGGTGATCTTTTATACCAATTCTATATAAATCATAATTCAACTGACTGCACATGTATCTCAGTTTTGTGTGTAAGATATTATATTTTCTTCTTCCATAAGCGAAGTACGCAGGTGACGTGGGGTTGTGCTTTTGTAGCGAATTTTTAAAACAAGAAATCGTAGAATTTCGATCTGATAACGGAATAGAGTTCCACAATCGGATAGACGATGGGTAAAAGGATTCACACGAATGTCTTAGTCTTGTGAGAGGAACACTGATGTTTTCAGAGTTTCTGAGACTGTATGAGTTTTTTGCAGCAACGGTTTTGGGTAGACTACCTGTTAGATAGGAAGGGGCCATGTTATGATTAATTTTGAAACTTTGAAATGACGGCCATATTGGTTTCCCGTCAAAGGCCATGTTTGCCGTAGGCTGAATCGAAGGTATATCAGCTCTAGGTGCAGTGTCACACATTGGTCAATATCAACTGCAAACACTTTCACATTTTACTGCAAGTAACTTCACAAGCTGCACATTGAAACAGCTTACCTTTCCATTTGAGATTGTTTTCGGTTAAAATATTTTTTTATATAAATTTACTCTTGTGGAAAATACAATGATTTTCTGAAAGCCTATTGCAATATGAATCGCTTTGGCTTTGGGGTTTTCTACGGTTCCTGTAAACTTGTAAACTGAGCTGTTTAATCTAGTGTGGCACCATTGAAGCAACTAAAACTTTGCACTGACGTTTGCTTATTTGATGTTTAACGTCTCACTCAGCAATATCCCAGCTGTATGGTGGGTGGCCATTGCATTGATGACCTCATCAGATCCACTATGGCGAGATGTTTGACTCGAATGGATTCAATTTAAGTAGAACGAAACTGACCGACGTCAATCACCCATTATTAGGAAGGATAGCTCGGAGTATTGCTGCCGTTGATAGAACAATGACACAAAGTTTTGTATTTGTGAAACTGTTTTATTACAACAACATATGACAGACTCGGTGCTCCAGTTCATGTATCTGCCGATTATCTGAAAACATAAGAAAAGAAAAGTTTCAGGCATCAGACATGTCTTCAATTCGTCCTCACTGACAGGTGGAATACTTGTACCTTCCATATATAAAACGCTAACGCCAGAGACAAACCAGTCCATTGGACGTAAAGACAGGCATTATTTCATAATGTCCCTTGGGAAATATCAAGAACAAGTCTTTAAATGCACCGTTTCGCATGATGGTTAGGACAGTCTTGGCAGTAAGATTGGTTTTGGATCAAGGTTTTTAAAGTAAAATAGTAGATTTGACTTACTCATGTGAATGTGTAAAAATTATCTTTGTTTTTGTTTGTTTTTTATAATCAGGACTTGTATAGTTTGCCATTAAGCCACGTGACATGAATGCCTTGTGACTCATTATTGTTTTAATAAACGCTTATAATTGAATGCATCTTATGTTTGTTTGTTGTTTAATGCCGTACTCAACACTATTCCAGCTATATGACGGCTGTCTGTGAATGATCGAGTCTGCTTCAGACAATCCAGTGATTGACATTATGAGCATCGATCCACTCAATTGGGATACGATGACATGCATCAACCAAATCAGCAAGCTTGAATACCCGATCCCGTCAGTCACCTCTTACGACAAGTAGAGTCGCCTTTACATTCTGGTTTGCCTGGCCCAGATTCGATCAGTACTAGACCACCTTATATAGCTGCGAGAGTGCTGAATTCGACGTTAGTCAGCATTCGTTCCCTCACACCTTTGGAAAATCTAAACTTCTTATTATTTGATTTGTCATGTAACTTGTCATCGTACTTGTTACTTATGCCACATGTTGACCAGATTGGCCGGATAAGCGAAGTCTGTCTGTTAAACTTTAACTCACGTTTCACAAACGCAGTGACCGATGAAATGTCCCTGGTGGTGGCAAACGGTTTTTCCGTTACATCCGGGGCACTCAATGTCGCAGACTCTGCTCTGCACACATCTGTCAAATCGGCCACAGCTTGTTTGGGCATCTGACAATGATAGACGTAAATGACATTAACCACCTTCCTTCACTGAACATTTATTTTACATATGATGTTTCGAGGGATCACAAATGTACACTTTTGATGAAGATGAAGAACACGCTATGGTAGAATGTCCAAGTGTTGATAGTGTCAGTTAAGTTATGCAGAACCATAGATCAATAATTTAAAATTTGCTGTATCGGAATAAATTCCATGCAATGTATTGAAGTGACCGGGACCCTAATTCCTGCTGTACTACTGGCGCTGACTGTAAGACCTGCACGATACCAAGACACAGTGGCTCTCGCGCTCCTGAGTCAAATACATATGTGTATGAATCTGGAGAACAGTCGCATTTCCAACTAATCTCAACTTGAGTCCCATTTAAATATACTTTGTCGACGCTGGTGAGTGATTGTTTACTAGACGTGCGTAAATCAAGCGACTGCGTGAATGATATATGAACATAAGGTCCAGCCAGGAGACTCACCAACAGCCCCCAGGAGCAGCACTGAAGCAAGGACGAGGAAGAGGACGACTCTCATGTTGACTGTAGTAACAAGGTGCTGGTGAGAGTGACACAGGCTGTTTTTATACACTGTCTCGGGCGTGGTGAGAGTGACACAGGCTGTTTTTATACACTGTCTCGGGCCGACCTATCGTGACATGGAACCAATCCTTCACACGTTTTTGTATGGGTTATCTTTCAGGTTATGTTATCCTTTCCAGTTGCGATAGAGATTTCATGATGCACTTGCGGCAACAAGTTTCTGTGGCAACTATCATGGGAAAAATACACGAACGCAAACAAAGAATGATTTTGCAATAGAACAATATTTTGATGTCCATGAAACATTAATTCATCATGCCAATGTAAACACATGCAGTCTGTAAACGACACCCCCTGGGGTCAACCGTCAGTTCACAAGTCAGTATCGAATATGATCACCATAACCATAGCCTCACTGACGACACAAGGTGATAGAGGAAGGCTTGTGGGATGTCTTCTTGGCCGAGGTATGTCCAAGGTGGACCAACGTACCCGGTTGGTTTCGAAGTCCGCGTAAAGGACGTTTGATTTCATCTCACACATGCATGTAAATTCGATGGGCGACAGATCTGGCGAAACAGCAGGCCAAATGAGTGTGGAGATGTCCAATTAAAATTGATGTGACGCTGATGGATCTGAAGGAACGGAAGGACGTGAGGACGGGAAACTTCATCACGGTACCATACACTGTCAAAGTGTTATTGATGACCGCTGGAGAGGTCCTTTGATGTGCAGTGATGCCTCCCAACACACCATTACGCTCCCACCACCAAATGCAGAACTTTGCAGAACACATGCGTAAGCCTAACGTTCCACCCGACGTCGATGACGGCCATCACTGCTGTAAAGATGAAACTTGGACTCATCTGTGAGTAGGACTGACCTCCAGTCCTATAGCCTGAACCTCAGATGGTGTCTTGGCCATGCAAGTCGTGCAGTTGTACCGACTCCAGAATGACTGTATGGTATTGCTAGTCTGTTGGTACCGACTCCAGCTTGACTGTACGGTGTTGCCAGTCTGTTGGTGCCGACTCCAGCTTGACTATACGGTGTTGCCAGTCTGTTGGTACCGACCCCAGAGTGACTGTATGGTGTTGCCAGTCTGTTGGTACCGACTCCAGTGTGACTGTACGGTGTTGCCAGTCTGTTGGTGTTGACCCCAGAGTGACTGTATGGTGTTGCCAGTCTGTTTGTACCGACTCCAGTGTGACTGTAGGATGTTGCCAGTCTGTTGGTGCCGACTCCAGCTTGACTGTACGGTGTTGCCAGTATGTTGGTGCCGACTCCAGCTTGACTGTACGGTGTTGCCAGTATGTTGGTGCCGACTCCAGCTTGACTGTACGGTGTTGCCAGTCTGTCGGTGCCGACTCCAGCTTGACTGTATGGTGTTGCTAGTCTGTTGGTGTTGACCCCAGCGTGACTGTACGGTGTTGCCAGTCTGTTGGTGCCGACCCAGAGTGACTGTACGGTGTTGCCAGTCTGTTGGTGCCGACCCCAGTGTGGCTGTATAGTGTTGCCAGTCTGTTGGTACCGA